AAATAAACAGGTAAAAGGTAGAAACAAAATATAATGAATGTTTTGATTGAAAATGACATTTAAAAAATTTTTCTCATTCACCAAAATTGCCAGATAACAGGAGGAGAAATGATCAGATGAGCTTATGAGAGTAATAATTTCAGTGAAATTATTAGAAAACTTAAAAATGTTTGTTGCTGTCACTATCCGAATTATTTAATTTCCAAGGACAAATCAACAGCTAAAAATTTTCAGAAAAAAAGTTTCGTCTGTCTGTTTTTTCTTTTATTTAATTCCTTTTTGTTTGAACTATACTTTGTTGTTAAATAGATGTTTAATATTTACTAGATATTCAAAAAATCATCAGTTTTTTAAGCATTTGTAGTAGCTATATATGATAAGTAAATGTTCAAAAAAAAAAGATAATTTGCATATTGTTAATATAACTTTTTATAAAACCAATGATTTTTAGAAGTAAAACTGTTGACCTGTTCAGGTAAATCAGCTTTTGTAATTGTATTTGTACGAAGTAATTTACTAGTCGAAGGGGTTAAATAACTATCTTCTGTAGCAACTGTAGTATGATCAAGTATCGATGAAGATAGGATTGATGGTGATGATAATTCAAAATGTTGATAACAATACTGTTGATGATTTGGCGGTGATGGTGATAATGATGAGGCAAATGAATTCCTGGTATTCAACTGATTTAATTCAACTGAAATCAAGAAAATGAAAAACGGAATTTGAAGTTTTTTTTCAAATTTAACGTAATTTTCGAATTTGTGTTTTCAAATTTAATTGTATCTAAAATTGAAAAGTTTTTAACACAGAATAAAACATAACATTAAAAATTCTCAATCAATTTGGTACTTTCCTTATGTTGATTAGGTTGATTAACAGTGATAACGTTAAATAAAACAGAAAAAAAAACGGCAAAATCTCATAAATTTTGTAGGATTTAGGCCAAAAATCGTGTTTTATTCTTCTGTTATCTCAATAATATTCTGATCACACAATCACACATTATACAAATCATAAAATTTGATGAGACTGAAATTTTTTCATTTTTGAAAACTCAATTAAATATCTATGTATTTTCCAATGGTTTTTCTTTCATTCACGTGAAAATATGCAATTACAGTAATGAATTGAAATATCAATTCTTTTTCTTTTTTTTAAATTTAAATTAAAACCTGATTTTAAACAAAAAAAAGGAAAGGACTAACTTGATGGATAAAAATCAACAGATGCAGCTGGTGAATGATCGTCAATTGAGCTACTTCGACAATTATTCTCTATTCCGGAATCTTCCTGATGTTCTTCCAATGGTAATGGACTGGACGTTAAACACTCTTCGTTTTGCTAAAAAAAAATAATTTTAACAATTGAATGATTGAAATTTTAAAAATATCCCAACGGCAATGCCGCAGTAAATGTTTTAAATGTTTACAGAAATCTTCAAAATTTACATCTTAAAAGTTTGAAGGAAAAATTTCTAATTTCAAAACGTTTGCATCATCATTTCTTATTCATAAATATCAACTAATCCTGCATGTTACATGCAGCTTCAATGATTTCAACATTTCTAATTAATAAACAATTCATAACAAATTGATTTCCCAACTTTTAATTTGACTACTACCTTATTTACTATTTAATTATTACTTTATCACTTATACTCGAAATTTGATTTTCTTTTATTTATAATTTGTACGGAAGGCAAAAGAAAAAAAATGTGCTGGAATTGAAGAAAGGTAATAAGGTTATTCAGGGAAATCTCATTTGAAGGCAAATTGGATGACGAATTTTTTTTTATTTCCCATTATTCGCCTTTATGTAAAAGCAATCTTTAATCATAAAATAGTTTAAAGAAATAGAAGAATAAAGAGAAGAAATTTTGCATAGTTGGAAGATCAGCACAGCATGTAAAGTATAATTCAATTTTAAGCATCATTTTTTTTTTATGAACACCATTCTTGTATCAAATAACTTTAATTTAAAATTAAAATTTAATTCAATGAATAAAATAAGTTTAAAAGCAAAGAATAAATAACAGAAAGATCATTTTATTGATTATTCAAATATGACTGGCATTTTTGATGAAATTAAAACAAGATAATTTTGATTTGAAACTAAAATTTTGACCTTAGTATGAATATGAATTACAAATATATTAACAGAAATAAATGATAAATATTGCGAAATTACATGAATATTTAATTAAATGAAAAACTAAATATTGCAAAATTTCTGCACGAATTTATGATAGCTTGATGATAAAAGCTGATATCAATTAACATATAACATAACATGATCAAAACAAACCCAATAATAGTTTACTTGAAAAATGGTAAGAGAAGAAAATAGTTGGAGTTTAAAATCTAATTAATCATTACTAAAGCAATGTATTATTTGTAATAATTAAGTAGTACATAAATTTAAGCCAAGTGAAAAATAACTGCTATAAAAATATTCGTTATTAAATGAAGTGGAAAAAATAACTTTACAAAGTTAATTTTTTGTTATATTCCACTTACCAATTATAAATGATAAAAATTAAGTGATAAGGAATGAGACAAAAATATTGAAATGATTATAGTTTAGGATGAAAATTAAACCATTACAATACTAAAATTGTACAAAAATACCGGTGAAATGAAAATCCTAATCGCTGTTTGTGGTATGAAACATGTCATTCCAGTAGTTTCATCGATTCCTTCGATAATATTGCTATCATTATTATCGACAGTGTTACTATTAATATTAGTACTATTACTACTATTATTATTCATTATATCATTTCCATTTTGTCCATGCATTGATAAGGAATATTCCAAATTACAGTTTATCTGATTTACTTTATAACCTGTTCCACTTCTTTCATGCCATAAATTAAGCAATAAATATGTTGTATCATAGTTATGAAATTGCCTCAGATGAATAGATCGCTGTTGTGATAAATTGTAATCGATCATACTTTTCCAAGATTTATACAATCGTGATGGTAAAATTAAATTTGAATATACTGGTAATTTTGATGAACAATATCCCATGAAATGAACATCTTCTTCGGTGATATCACTCAATGATTTGGCTAATTTTTGAAAAAGTTCCATATCAGTTACACAGTTAACTTTGAAATGTTATAACATTTCGAATACTATAAGTTAATTAATTGTTCTAGGCATACACTCGTAGTGAATAACGAATGAAATCCGTTATATTAATAACATAGCATGTATCCATTTGAATGCGAATTTGTAGGATCCATAGTAATAACCAGAATATTCCTGATAGGAATTCAGAATCAAAGGATCGTTGTTCTTTTCAATCAGGTAATGATTTGAAGTAACGTTGCAAAAGTAACGATGAATTTCCTGATTTTTGATGAATGAAGAAAAATTAGTTCACTGAGAAGAGAATGAGGTAGTATTTTGAAGAAAAAGATTGAAAAATTGAGGACAAAGGACACCACCCTCGATCACAATCTCCATTATTGATCAGAAAATTATGTAACAGTAATAATATTTTTAATTCCACCAGAACTAAATGTTTAAAATCTTTTTATCCTCGTCCTCATTTAAAAAGAACCATACCAAATTGTATTGAAAAAAAAAAAATGAAGAACTGGAATATGATTGGAATTTTTAATTTATTACAGAAAAATTAAAAGCATTAGTTGCTTTTCAAATTATTTACTTCATTTTGTATTGGTATCTTTTTCATTCATCTTTTTTCTCATCATTTCTAAATATAATGTTTAACTAATTTTATGAATCCTAACATAGTAATTGAAACCTGAAAAATTGAACTATTTCAAATTGTATCCCAGCAATTTTTCCCAAGTTATTACTATTTTTTGAAAGTTTAATGGGTTATTTTTGGATTTAATACTTAGATCAATCAAACTTATTTTTGATAAAATAAAATGATTAAATTCGCTGATCCCAAATGATTCCCATCTATTCTATGCAACCACTTGCAACTCACAATTTAACTCGCCAAATATTCTTTTTGAGTTTCTCGCCTTACCCTCAACTGCTGGATATTCCAACTTCTCCGCAAAAAACCTCAATGAACTACCATATTACACTTGGTAAAATCGATAAAGTATATATAGTGGAAAAAGAATAAATATCCATAGTCGTGATAAAAATTTGACTATTTA